GAAATTCTGTAGGTATGAGATGAATGTTAGAAAGGCTCCTTTGCATTCATCCATTTCCCGAGGAGAATTTTCTTCCTAACATCCAACTTTAGGGGGAAAGTACATTATTAAACCTAAAATCAAGATTTATTTTTCGTGCGCTTTCTCCCTACAAGTGATATTAGCAAAGCTGTGCAGAATTCAAGTGGAAACAAAGAAAGTTGTTCAGAAAACTGGGGTTTCCTTTGCTAAGTCAGTCTGGCAATAAAGTGGAGCAAAATCAAAGCATTCTAGCCAAAATAAATCTGCACAATGAAACTATCAGATATGAGGTAATAGTGTGACATGCCTGTGGGTATCAGACATTCTTGTAAAAACTACAGACCTAAAATTCGGTCCTGCACCATTAAGCCACAACTCTGCCAAGCAGCAACACAGAACACACATTTTAAATTTCTGTTGCAAACCAAATTTAATTCGCACCAAAAAGCAATTAAATCTTTTACCAGAGGTTTCAGTCTGGGCACTTTAAGCCTTTGAGAATCACTGCAGTGGCGTGGAATCCAACCCCTCTTTCAGTGTGAACATGAGATGGCTATTGTTCAGATCAGGAGGAAATGTCAGTTGTAAAGTACATAGCTGTCAAGTGACTTTGGTAATTTGAGGTGCTGCTTGTTGAGGTTAGATGGAAAGAAGTTAGCTCATACCAGAGGAGGAGGGTGGGAGTGAGGGACAATGTGGGATGGGGACACAATGGACTATGTGGAGGATTATGGGTGTGATCGGTAACATATCAAGAGGTGTTGAACCTGGACCTCTGAATCATACACCGTGTTGTAAATCAACATTACCTTGATTAAAAAAAAAAAAAAAAACAACTAGCAAACAAAAAAGGGTTTGACAAGAAATCACTAAATCCTTTCTGATAACTGTTTACATCCATCCTCTTACAGACGTCATTCTATTATTTAGAACAAGAATTTGTGCGCACTTAGGCAAGCTGGAAGGCATTAAGAATTTAGAATGAAATATCTGTCGGTCTCATATCACTGAGATAGCTTTTACAATATTTTCCTGAATTTCCTTTTGGTCTTTCACACACACACACACACACACAGATTTATGGTTGCATCTAAGAGTATATATTAAATTTGGGTCATTGTGCATTTTCAGTATTTTCCTTTTTGCTTTTATCTCTGTTATTTCCCATTTCCTTACATGTTCTTTAAAGATGAGCAATATAATGGTTATATGGTATTCCATTTGCTGGCTATGCCATCATTCATTGACTATATCCACTCTATAGATTGTTTCTCTTCTTCCTTTTTCTGATTTTTTTAAGCATATAATTTTAGAAGCAGAGTTATGAGGTCCAAGGGTAGGAACTTTTGAGACTCTTGATATGTATTGCCAGTGGTATATCAGAATGGTTATTTATTCCACTGACTATATGATTGCCTCTCTCACCTGCCATTTGCTAGAAACAAGTTACATCTGTGATTAGGGGTGGGTGTGGGCAGGAAAGAATGCAAAACACCCTGTTCATTATTTCTAAATATCGAATTATTTCTAAATATCAAATTTAGAAATATTTTTATCAAATAATATTTATAAATATATCAAATATATTAAATATATGATATATAACATTATTTGATATATAGATATATCAAACAATATTTATAAATATTTATATCAAATTTATAAATATCAAATTATTTATAAAACAATACCAGTGTGTGCCAAGCATAGTTCCTGACACTGCGGATATAGCATTAAACAAAATTACCCCACATTCCTGTCCTACTGAGCTATGTTCTACTGGGGAGAAAAAAATATTTGTCACTTATATAAGATATTAGAAAGTCGTGTTATGAAAATAAAAATAAAGCATGGAAGGAAGATGGCTGCATGGGTAGGACTCAGAAGGGGGAACATTGGAGAGTTTACATGTATTATTGGGATGTTGGAAAGTTTCCCCCTTTGAGAACATTTACTGGTCTCCTACAAGACATTAGTTAGAAAGCATTAAGCTACAAAATCCAAATTAAGTATTTGAGGAACCCTGGAATCGCTTCATTGAGAACCAGTATGTGTATATACAACATCAAGTTTCCCACTAAAATTTCCATTTCATCCATTACTACAGTTGCCCCCTTTGTCCTGATTTACCCCCCTCCCCCCTTCCTTTCTGGTAATCACTAATTATGCTGAGTGAAATAAGCCAGATGGAGAAAGACAAACACTGTATGATCTCACTCCTGTGTGGTGTATGGAGAAAACAAACAAACAGAGGAAATAAATGAATTTCTTTTTTTTTTTTTTTTTAATCTTAAATTTTATTTTATATTCCCCCATACAATTGCAAACGCCCCATTCTGACCCCAATCCTTCCCCTCCCGCCCCCCACCCCCCCCAAAAAGTCTCTGGTTCATAGTTTTTTGTTGATTTTGATTTTCACTTTCTTATATTCATTTTCCTGGTCCCTTATTTAAGTTTTCTAGATTCCTGCTATGAGTGAGACCATCCGGTATTTTTCTTTTTCGTTTTGGCTTATTCGCTGAGCATGATCCCTTCCAGCGCCATCCATGTTGCTGCAAATTGCATGTGTTTATCTTTTTTGAATGCTGAGTAATATTCCATGGTATATATGTACCACATCTTCTTGATCCAGTCATCTATTTTTGGGCATTTGGGTGTTTCCAAAGCTTAGCTATTGTAAACAGTGCTGCTATAAACATAGGGGTGCAGGTGCTCTTTGAATGATGTTTCTGTGTCCTTTGGGTAAATACCTAGGAGTGAATTGCTGGATCATATGGAAGCCTATGTTTAGTAGGTCCAGAAATCTCCACACAGCTCTCCATAGTGGTTGGACCAGTTTGCACTCCCACCAACAGTGCAGAAGAGTTCCTTTTTCTCCACACCCTCGCCAACATTTGTTGTTGCTAGTTTTTTAATATGTGCCATTCTCACTGGTGTGAGATGGTATCTCATGGTAGTTTTGATTTGCATTTCCTGATGACAAGTGATGTTGAACATTTTTTCATATGCCTGTTGGCCATTGCATTTCCTCTTCAGAGAAGTTTCTTTTTAGCTCTTCTGCCCATTTTTTGACTGGATTATTTTCTTTGTTGTTGCTGAGTCTCATCAGCTCTTTGCAGATTTTTGTGATCAGTCCTTTATCATTAGTGTTGGGTGCAAAAATGTTCTCCCAGTTGGTGGGGTTTCTCTTTGTTTTGTTATTGTCTCTTTTGCTGTGCAGAAGCTCTTTAATTTGATGTAGTCCCAGCTGTTTATCTTTCTCTTCACTATCACTGCTTTGGGTGATGTGTCTGTAAAGATGTCTTTGATGTGCAAATCCCGTAGTGTTTCACCTATATTTCCTTCTATGTATTTTATGGTTTCAGGTCTTATGTCTAGTTCTTTAATCCATTTTGAGTTGATTTTTGTGTATGGTGTGGAGGTAGTGGTCAAGCTTCATTCTTTTGCATGTAGCGACCCAGTTTTCCCAGCACCATTTGAAATAAATGAATTTCTATTCTTAGGATTATTATCCAACTTTAATTCATCTGTTAAAGACAATTATATAACAACAGGTTGAATTTGACTTGTATAGCTCTGTTTTGTTGTTCTGTTACCTATTACCTATTAAAGGGGAGCGGAGGTGAAGGAAAACTTGGTGGGTCGTGGTGAGAGATGATAAGGGGAGGAAAATAAGCAAAGAAAAGGAAGATAGAGAATTAAGTAGAAATCCAGGTCATAGCAAATGACAGTGGCTGGCTGCAGGGATACCAGTTAGTCAGCAGACTTTGATGAGTATGGTCCTCTGAGCATCTTCCCTAGGGTCACTGGGTAAAAGTGGTACCCAGTGGTGAAAAATTTTAACCATCTCCAGGTTACTAGAATTTAATTTAAATTCATCTAATATCTGGATTAGGTTTTCTGCCATAGAAATAAAAACACCCCTCATTCTGTGACTTGGAATAAAATAATATCTTAATTAAGATTCCCTTGGTTCTTTGTAGTTTTGACAGTCTTCAAACTTTTTTTCGTATCATTGACCTCCTCTGATATCTTAGTTGTGACATGATTGAGGAGGACTTTAAAGAAAAGCTAAGCAAGAAATTGAAGGAAAAGTAGAAGGTATCATAATCTTGATGTTTTCAAACTTAGGTTCTTATAAATTATTTTATCAGAGACTTAGGTTTTTACCAACACTTAAAAGTTTTAAAGCCACATTTTTTGAGAAGAAAGAAAATTACAGACACTGTCTAACATATTTGTTACCTATTTTTAAGAGATATAAATATAGCCATGGTGGTGCTATTAGAGTAAATTGTAGGATTATTTATTTATTTATTTAAAAGAATTATCATTTATATCAATACATATATATGTTTTTATTTATAGAAAATAAATTCCAGATTAGATCATAAAGCAAAAGTGAACTGTAAGTTGGGTACATTTGAAAAAGAATAACCCATAAAAGCTGAATATAAAATGATGGGGTATAGGTATATTGGGTTATACAAAAAATGGAAAATAAATAGAGCAAATGTTTCCACAATATTTCTAAATAAATAATTTGATAAAACAGTCACTTAAATAATGCAAAGAAAGGTATTTTATGTTGATAAAGATAGAAAAACAATAAAAATTCAATTGCACTATATATCACAGCTATACAAAAATGTATGTGCTCCGTAAGGGCCGCAAGATTATGTTTTTTTTTCCCTCTAGTCCGCTTCCAATACAATTAATACTAACAGCACAATTATATTTCTTAAATTGAGCATTGATTATATATTTAGAAATCTTAGATAACTAGAAAAAAAATCCTCAGATATATCTCATTGCTACAGGAAAGAATACATATTCGTTCAGGAGAAACTTCGAGAGACCTATTTTTCCAGTCAGAGTATAAAAGCCTTTTTCTCCACCAAAATCAAGTTAGCTTGGTGGTTCAACAGAAATTGTTGAATCCGTTCTAATTCATTTGTGATCTTCCTCCATCTTTACAGCAATATGAGAACTGGAGACCCAACCAGCCAGACAGCTTCTTTTCTGCGGGAGAAGATTGTGTTGTGATCATTTGGCATGAGAATGGCCAGTGGAACGATGTTCCCTGCAATTACCATCTCACCTACACCTGCAAGAAAGGAACAGGTAATGATCAGCCCATTAATACGTACACTTTATCTGCATTTCAATTATCAAGTGAATTTCAGAAAACTAAGCTCATTCTTTAAGACAAAAATGAAATATGTCATATGTTATCTCCTGTTGCTCTGGAATATTTCACTCTTTCAGTAGATAGTTGAAAAGTTTGTTTGCAATGATGGCTCAATGTTTAAAACTTGGGATGTATAATAAAATAATCTGGGTGTTCTAAGAATACCTGGTAGCATTTGACACATGTTCGGATTTGTCCACGATTTGAAGCCGAAGCCCAATGCCCTTCCTTGGTGGGGGCTTTGTGCTCCAGGGCACTGTGGTCATTGAATTTTTCCCTCGTTTTTAACTACCTGGCCTCTGTAAGTGTTTGAGGTTTGTGAATCACCCCCTTACAAGCTTATTGCATGCTTATAAACCATGGGACAGAAAACTCTGTCTATAATGAAACTCTTTCTATAATGAAAATTGCTCAGTTGACTTTAAATAGATAACATTAAGAGAGCTGCCTTTTAAGTATGTTGTGTTTATCATTGACCAATATGTTTGAAATTCTAAGACACCCTGTATACAGACTTCTTCCTAAAGTTCCATAGACATTTTCTAACCGGCTTGCAATTGATAATAGTATTAATGCATGAAGAATTAGTCTCTAGACATAGGCTTGTAGCCACCTCAAGCAAGACTGCAAAGCACAAATGCAAAATATAAAATCCATCTGATTTATTTGTCTTTGAACATAAAAATAACCTAGCTAGAATACACACTCTATAGATATTCCAGGAAAGACTTAAACACCAATAATGAGAAATTCTATTAGAAGAAAGAGAAAAGTAAGATACACAAAGCTCAGATGAAACTCCACTGTTACCCTATACTACTTTACCTGACTACTCTCTTATCCGAAGTAGTGTTTACTCTGAATATCCTTTCTGTATCAGCAGCTTTCCTGACTATGTGCCTTATTTCAGCACTTCTGTGATGAAACTCGTGAAAACAACAAATCAAGTATTTGCTGTTTTGCCTGCACTAGTGTGAGAAGTCTAATGAACTGTTTGTCTTTATCCAAATGTCATGTTTGCCTTCTTAGATCTTCAAATAATCCCTGGAGTTGTGTTTTTCATTTTATGATACAAACAATCATTTATTTCCTGTTATTTTTTTTTTTTCTAAAGCAGGTTTTCTCAACAGCAGCACCACTGACATTGGGGCCAGATCGCTCTTGGTTGTAGGGGAGCTGCCTGGTGCAGAGTGTTTAGTATCACCTGGCTCCTCTGTCTATTTAAAGCCAGGAGCATTCTCCTCCACCCCACATTCTCCTCATTCCACAATCTCCTCCACTCCATATTCTCCTCCATTCCACATTCTCCTCCTCTGCTTTTTGACAACCATAAATATATCTAGACATTGCCAAATGTCCCTGGAGAGGGAGAGAAAGAAGGAAAGTACCCCAGGTTGAGACCCACTGCTCTGTAGTGTTTCCATTTCCCAGTGGGGAAGGAGAGTTATAAACCTTGACTCTACCTCATTAAAGAAGAAAAAAAAAGTTACAAGCTAATTCTTGTACCTCATCTCCCTACTGTCTGATTTTTATTTAGACTTGCCCTTTGTTAATCAGTACTCTGGGACTTAGGAATTTTATAAATGTCTGCAGACTTTTATAAAAGTGACTCATTTTTCCTTTCAGATATTGTAGATATCTGTAAACACAAAGACCTAAGTAGTTCTACTTTTAATTAAATACTTGTAAAGAAGGATTACAATATATACAATGGATTTTTTTTTTCAATGCATACTATCCACACACATTTGGGAACAGGTTCCTGCCAATTCCATCCATTTACTCAGTATTCTCTTTAGTATTTTCATAAATACTTATATTCATAAAAATAAAGATTGCTTTAGTTTTTCACATTTTTGAACATTAGGTAAGTGGGATTATAATGCTTGTATTTCATGTGTTGCTTTTTTTGTTCAGCATTATGTTTGTGAGATCTATCCGTGTTGATGCATGTAAGTGTATTTCTTAATTTTTGCTGCTGTATACAATTTTGTTGTATGACTCCACAATGTTTTATGTGTCAGTTCTCCTGTCAGTGGACCTTTGGGTTATAGGCAGTGTTTTACTGTCATAAACAATGTTTCTGTGAACATTCTTGAACATGTTCCTGGTAGACTTTTATGAGTTTTCATAGGCTATTTTTTCAGGAGTGAAGTTGCTGAGTCATAGGATATAATTCTCATCACATTTTCTAGAAAATGCCAAATTATTTACCAAAGTGGTTGTATCAGTTTGCACTCCCACCAGCAATGTGTGAGAGATCCTGTTACTCCACATCTTCTCCAACATTTGATGTTATTGGACTTTGAAATTTTGCCAGTATGGTGGGTATAAAATGTTTTCTCTTATTTAATTTGCATCTTCATGGATCCTTTTCCTTCATATCTTTTCATGTACTTACAGGTCACTTATAGTTCTTTTTTTGTGATGTTTCTATTCATGTCTTTAGTTTATTTTTTAAAAATTGGCCACTTCCTTATATTGATTTGTAGGAGTTCTTTTTATATTCTGGTTATGAATCCCTTGGCAATTCAATATTTTCTCCCAATTTGTACTTTTTCACTCCTACCTAATGGCATTTTTTGGATGAATAGGCTTCTTCATTTTGTTTCATTTTCCTTTAATGTTGAAATTATTTTGTGGCTTAACAAATCCTTACCATCTCGGGCCTTCCCTGGTGGCGCAGCGGTTGAGCGCTGGGTTGCGAGGCTGCCCGCAGCCTCTGCAGCGCCTGTTCGATCCCCGGCCACCAGCAAGGGTCCCACAAAAAAAAAAAAAGAAAAGAAAAGAAAAGAAAAAAGAAATCCTTACCATCTCTAAAGTCGTCAAGATATTCTATGTTGTTTTCTAGTCTTACCTTTTAAATTATATCTAGAGTTAAATTATATAATTTAATTATATAATTTAATAATAATATAATTTAAATATAATTAAATTATAATTATACCTTTTAAATTATATCTTACCATCTAGAGTTGATTTCCCATGCATTCTCTGAGATAGGAAACTAAGAAAACTTTTTTCCATACAGACACCCAATTGTCCAAGTGAAAAATCTCCCTTTTCCCTACTGCTCTGCCATGTTGCTCTGTCAAATATTAAGCATACTTGTCTGGGTTTATTTCTTGTCTACTTGTCTGTCCTTGCCAATACCACACTCAGTAAATTATTTTAGCTTTATACTAAGTCATCACATATAAATAGTTTTGAAAGAAATCTGTGCATTGCTTTCCTCACAATTACAAAAACAACTTCTAGTTTGTCAGCATAGCTCAGATTCATGTACAGCAAATTATCCCATTGATCATTTTTTCACCTTCTATATCACTTCGGTATCATTCTGTCTGATAGATGCTAGTATTCAAACCTTGGTATAGGCTTTCCATTTTACAATAAAAGAAGCACAGGTATCCAATTTGTGGTTGTCATTCTACCATACCCATAGTAGGAAAGAACTAATAAACGTAAATGACAGTAGATGATATTATATTTGTATTTGAGTGTCTGTCCATATTTGCAACTATGATGCTATTTTCTCAGGGAATTACAGTCATAGTTAATTTTTACAAATCCATTATTGTTCCAAGTGGAGGTGGGTAATATATAAATATTCTGGGAATGTGATAAGACAATACCAACAGGCCATGTGTTGGAATGAGACAGGTACTTTCTGCCTTGAAATTATTTTCAGAAGAGTTACCCTACCAGATGGCTAGATGAATTATGATTACTTAGCCCTATGTTTCTTTAATAAAACGCAATTCTAGGTGACATAATCTGATATCTAAACTTGGCAGAGAGCCCCAATGTTTCATTTTCTCCTTGAAAAAATTCGATTTGGTGAAGGTGCTTGATTGGGTACCATAAAGAGGAAAAAAGACAAAAAGAGACTCTTAGTGTAATTGAAATACTTAGATTATTTGAAAGTAACTCAATTTTTTTCTTTAGTTGCTTGCGGCCAGCCCCCTGTTGTAGAAAATGCCAAGACCTTTGGAAAGATGAAACCTCGTTATGAAATCAACTCCCTGATTAGATATCACTGCAAAGATGGTTTCATTCAACGCCACCTTCCAACTATCCGTTGCTTAGGAAATGGAAGATGGGCTATGCCTAAAATTACCTGCATGAACCGTAAGTGGTACCTTAGAAAGAATGGACAACCGTGCTATAACAACTACTAGACACCCTCATTTTATGGCTACGGTATCAGCAGTATAGGGTATGGAGCAAGTAATGTTGTTGTGTTTTCTTTCTTTCTTTCTTTTCTTCCATGTAGCGTCTGCCTACCAAAGGACTTATTCTAAGAAATACTTTAAAAATTCCTCATCAGCAAAGGACAATTCAATAAATACATCAAAACACGATCATCGTTGGAGCCGGAGGTGGCAGGAGTCGAGGCGCTGATCCCTAAAATGGCGAACATGTGTTTTCATCATTTCAGCCAAAGTCCTAACTTCCTGTGCCTTTCCTATCACCTTGAAAAGTATTATCAGTTGGTTTGGATTTTTGGACCACCGTCCAGTCATTTTGGGTTGCTGTGCTCCCAAAACATTATAAATGAAAGTATTGGCATTCAGACAGAAAGCAAACAAATGGAAGAAAATAAGGGCAGAATGTAACCATTTCCAGCCTAGCTAATTTCTTTAGTTTTCTATTTGCCTCCAGTGCAGACCATTTTATAATGTATACCAGCCTACTGTACTATTTAAAAAGCTCAATTTCATTACCAATGGCAATGTAAATAAGATGATTTAATGTTGATTTTAATCCTGTATATAAAATGAAAAGTCACACTGAGTTCAGGCATATTTAATGATGATTATGGAGCTTCAGAGGTCTTTAATCATTGGTTCCGCTGCTTTTTGTAGTTTGTTTAGACTGGAAATGGTTCATTTGCCCATTGACTGTCAGCAAGACTGAGGACAACTTTTCTGGACAACTAACAGAATCTTGTGTGTCATGCACCACCTCAGCCATCCATGCAGTTTGCTTGCCTGTAATGGTGAAGCTTCGTGAATGGAATCCCGATGGAACTAAGGACTGCAAAACGAACTCTTCTTTGCTGCATTCCTTCTTCCTTCACTTACAAGAAAGGCCTGAATGGAGGACTTTTTTATGACCAGGCACATTTTTTAGGGGTCAAAGTGCTAATTATTAACTCAACCAGGTCTACTTTTTAATGCTTTCCTAACACTAACTTGCAAGGTTACAGATCAACATATTTCAAATGAATATAGACCTAGGGCTCTGGTGGGTGGGGGATTGTTAAAACAACACACATTCAAAGAAATTTTGTATATATAACCATTTTAATCTTTTATAAAATTTGAATGTTCATGTATGAATGCTGCAGCCATGAAGCAAACATAAATAAATGAAGTAAGCCATACTGATTTAATTTATTGGATGTTATTTTCCCCCAAAACCTAAAAATTGACATAGTATACTAGTTTTTTTTTTTCCAGTGTTAGCCTTTATACTTCCCTTATACAATTTGGAAACATATAATCTAGATACGTTGTCCCTGATTAAATAATGTGATGGATAGAATGCATAAAGTGTTTGTTATGAAAAAAGTGGAAAAGTGTGTAGCTTTCAGCAACTGGTGTTTGCCCATTCTAAGCAAGGAGCATATATATAGAAATAGTGTGAACATTTCTTCCTGTTAGGTGGACTATATGTGTTGAAATTTCTCTCTTCCCACTCTGTTTTCTCCCCTTTATTTGAATAAACTGACTGTAGAAGATAACCTTGAATCACTATCCACTTAATTTAATGTTTAAACTTGCAATGGAAAGATGTCACTTGCAATGGAAAGATGTCACTTAGGACTCCTTCCCCAGTTTCAGATCGAAAAACCTTGAGAAGAGTAGCAAATAAATAAAATGCAAATAGAAAAGGAAGCACACCTGATGGTTCTTTTTCTCGAAACATCCTTTGGTTTAGAAGGAACGAATTAGGAGGAACCAATTAGGAGGAACCATCATACACAATGTCTTTAACAGAGTTCCCTTGATTGCTGCATTTAATGTCATCCACCTTTAGATCACAAAACAGTTTTTTTCCCTGTTTCAATACAATGCACATAGTAATACATTCTTGTATTTATATTATAACGTGTATAGTGTAAAATGTGAATGACTTTTTTTTTTGTGAATGAAAATCTAAAACCTTTGTAACTTTTTATACCTGCTTTTGTTTCACCAAAGAAACCTAAAATCCTTCTTTTACTCAGCTGTGACTGGTCTGATTATTTACACCTTAAATGTACACCTTTAATGTACACCACATTTTTACATTTTTACATTCTGGCTCAATTACAGAGAACAGCTGCTGACTTAGATGAAATGACTTGGTGCTTAGCAGAGAGAGAATTATTTAGTGCCTGTAAAAATTGGGATAGTAATTCTGATAATGTTTACATCTACATCCTTATGCATTAATCTCAAATATGAAATAAACTTGCAATAGGCCAAGCGACAATTGACATTTAGAGAATGCTTTCTGTAGCAGACCGAGTGTTTCATGTGTGTCATCTCCCAATAAGCAGGAGAGGGCGCTGTTACCGATGAATGACAGATCAAATATCGCGAACCTAAGTCATTTGACCAAAATCATACCATCAATTTGAAGTAGATGCAGATAATCTCTAAAACCTACCTGCATAATAGTTTCAAAGACAATGTAAAATACTAAATTCCAAACCTGTATAGAGTTAGGAGATTAATTTGCTGGCTAGAAGATCCTATGTAAATCATAATGGTTGGTTGTCATCTATCCAGATTCCATCCATGTCTTTATTTTTCACTAACTCACTCACTACCTACCAAGTACTTACTATGTTTCAGGCACTGTATAGTAATGAGCTAGACAGGAGTCTGCCCATATAAATTTTTTTATACTAACTATATCCGTGAGAATTGTTTTATGATCCATTCATTTCAATCTTTATTGATAATTTGGGAGAACAAACCCAACCCATTGCATGTTCTGCAATTGTATAGAAGATACCTAAGGACAAAGGTGAGTTGAAAATTATTTTGAGGTTTCTTTTTTGGAATGTCAAAAATATATGCTGTCACAGTAACAGTGCCTGAAGCCGGCGGGGGGGGGGAGGGGGGATCCTCTAAGTCATATTCAACATTGTAAACCAATGTTACATCAATAACAAAAATAAATTTACAAAATGAAAAAAGAACCAAAAATAGATATGCAAAAAATAATTAAATACCTATTAGAAATTGGGCATGAATAGATGCAGAAGAGATTTTATTTAAATGATTAGCTTGTCTTTTTAATATATTGCCTGAAATTTGCCAAGGAAGTATATAAAAATTTACACTACTTATGCATATATTAAATGTTTTAAGTCCATCAACTAAATTTGCATTGGTCTAGTTGTAAATAATGGAGCCTGCCCAATGTTTCAGTGCCCTGAATACTGGGAAGAATGAGTAGTTTAAGGAGACTTATACTACTCAGACTATTACTCAGAACTACCAGAGGTGGTTTTCTACCCCAAAGGTCAGGTCGCATATCAGGAGAAAGAATGTGGCATACCATAGGGTCATGCCAGGGTATTTGAGATGGAAAAGAGGTAAGAGATTATATAATATATTACTTTGATGTGTTTTAAGTGAATTTTCAATACAATAAAAAGAGTAGGAACTGGATTAACCTTGAGTTATTTGTCCAGAAATTTTATCATGTAAACTAAAAGTATGGAGCTAGGAAATGAATAGAATAACGTAATAGGTTGTAAAAAAAAAAAATTCAGAATTGATTTTGTGCATGACCCATGCCTGAGTGACCCCCCCCTAGAAAAGAATCTACAAAAGAAATATTTTTTAGACATAGGCAGAAGATATGATGAAATGGCTAAAGACTCATTGATGATCTCAACATTTTTTTGATGCATTACTTTCTGTTTCCTAATTTGTACATTCAGTGAAATTGTTTTTGAAGAAAAAAGGCTTGCAGTGATGGTTTTGTACTATTTGTACATCTTTTTGTATGTGTGCTGTGACTTCCATATGCTAAACAAATCAGAATTCACCCAAATGATTCTTTTCTAAAACAAGTCAAAATAGAAAGTTTGAGTCATTCAAGATTGTATTATCTTTTCCCATTATTACTCATTTCTGTATGTTTGGATCCCAGCTGGACAAAAATGAACAAATGCCAAACAAGAGCAAGAATGGTTTTTACTTGAAGTGTTTACAGAATAAGCAAAGCTTGAGCTTTAATTGGAATTTAATTCAGATTTCTGTCTGAGTCTGTCAAATGATTGCTGCTTAAGTTTACTATTTTAAGGCAGTAACTCTTAAATGATGCCAATAGTGTTTATTCTAAAATTGAGTGTTAACTAGATGTCCATCACATTTTAAATTGTCAAAAAAGAAATTCCATCACGAAGTTAGATTGTAAAGGATGTAATTTTTGACATTTTAAATATTACCATTCTAAAATAAACATATAGCATCACTCTAAATATATTCTGTGGAATCTATAAATAGCACAATGGTTTGATACCTACTATCATTCATTTAAAAATATACTTGAAAAAAACATACTCTTTTAATTGACTTTTTAAAAAAAATTGGATTTATTTTTGTATTTCTGTTTCCCCTGTGGAATTTTATCCAAAATTTTACACTTATATGTTTGAAGGTCTTTTATTGATTAAGCCATCAAAATTTGCACTTTAATGTTGAAATTTTTTCTTGTGAACAGAAGTGTAAAAGTTTGAAATCTTCTGTATTTAGTTAACATTCTGATTTTGCTGATATAAAATTGATCACAATATTACACAAAAAAATTCTTTTTCAAATTGTAAAAATTTATGCAAATTATAAAATTTTATCAGACACCTACCTCAATGAGATGACTAGGGGTGTTTTTCCCAATTTACATTTCCTTGGATAAATATAACTTAAAACTCAATAGATGCATTGTGACTTAGCATCAGTTCTATTTTTACTTAGTTTTTATAGATTTAAGCACTGAAATAACTTGTTCACATAAATAAGTGGAAATGATAGTTTCATTATGAAATGTTACTCATTTTTTATCTTTTTGAATTATATGCCAAAAATTGCATAGTAATCTATCAATTACTTTCCCTTACCTTTCTTCTAGCATCTCAATGAAGCTCTCCCTCAATTTTGAGAAGGATTTCATTTGTACACTGTCATCAAAATCATTCATTTTGATTCATTCTTTTATCTGCTCATAGTTGTTACATCCCATTTTAAGCCTGAGGATGGTGGAGGGGTATGCTCGATGGGGTGTTTATTTCTGTAAAGTAGGAAGAGTATTTTGTTCTCAAAATTTGTTCCCAGAAGTAATAGCATTAACATCACCTAGGAACTGGTAATAGATCTTGCCCAACTAGGTTAAAAATTTGGGGAGTGGGAATAGCAACCTGGATTTTCACAATCACCTCCAAATGATTCTGGTGCATTCTGTAGGTTAACTGGCAAAAGATGCAAATGTAGCACTAGCAGCCTCCACCACTGACACCTTTCCGGAAAGAGACCAAATAAAAGAAGTTCTGGAAAATGCTTCAATTTGTGTGCACATGTACCCCTTGGAGAGTCTTGGGGTACTTACAGTGTAAGTAACTCTAAGGAGATGTACAGTCCTTAGAGTACTTTCAGATTTTTAGTACAGTATTTATCCATATTTACAAGCTTGTGTTCTCTCAGTCTGATGATGATTACTTTTCAAACTTTGAATGGCCCTCAGGTTTTGCAAGAAAATTTTTTTTCTACAGGGAAAATTGAATAAAGCAGCTTTATTAACAATAATGATTTCCTTTTTTTTAACTTAAAAAAATTATTTATTTATTTATTTATACAAGAACTGAGGTACAGGCCAGAAGTGTGGGGGGTGAGAGGATTCACCAGAGACAGAGTGGGGAGCAGAACAGGCAGATTGACTGAAATACACTGCTGAGGGGAGCAGCGGGCAAAACAGGAGAGTTCTGCTGCGCCATGTGGGTAGCTCCCTGGCTGGGGATGGAACTCGTGCTTCAGTTGCTGCGAATAGCTCTTCATAGGTTATGTCTTAACCCCTTGCGCCACCAGGGAGGCCCAACAATAATGATTTCTTAAAGATAGATCTGAAACAAAGTTTGAAATACAGAAATTAAGACAAATTTTAAAATTGAGAAGTAGAAACAAAGAAGATTTATTGTAATTCCCAGAAACAACCAGCCAAAAAAAAAAAAAAAAGAACTTCAAATTCAATAGTGAACCCTAAAAGAGGATAGTGGCAGAATCTTTGAGAGTGAATTGTCTTCTGAATAACTCTAGTTCCTGTCAGATCACCTTCTCCCATGCTTGTTAGCCAGACTGAAGAAACCATTTATTCTATGATATATATTGAGTGCTTGCCATGTACCAGGCTCTGTGCTACACATTGAGGATGCTGCTATAAACAAGGCAGACAAGTCCTTGTCCTCAGTGGAGCTTACGGTCTGATCAGAAATATTAGCAACAGCACTAAAGCAGGGAGATATTTGATTTCACATAACTTTTTTGTTGCTAAAACCTCCCATTTTGACTGTCTTTTTGTTCTGCTCTCCATCTTTACCCAATTCCATTTATAGGTATAGCTTTGAACTATTTCCGTCTGTACTTTTTATCAATAGGAGCCTAAGAGTCAATCTGGGTTCCTAATTCAATGCCTATCTTCAATCAGTCACCAGATTCTCCTTTAGTTACACTCATTGTCTTCTCTCTAGCCCAATTGTCTTCAATATCTCATATTGTATTAACATCTCCAGTTGCACTTTCAAAATAATATTTTAAACTAGAGTATTCTTTCAAATGTGCAAATATGAGCTCAGATTCTCAGGTTCAGAATTCTTCAGAAACTGTCACCTACAAAATAATATCTCATTTTATAAGTGTAGTAAAAACTTTGGGGAAAATACCTATTCTGTTCTAAGTATTATGTGCTTTAAAAATGAAGGAACTGATTCAGAAATCCTGGATAAATTAACGATCAAATTTAAGTTTTTTTTTTTTTTTTTAGTTATTTTAGTTTGGCTTCCTGTTCAGTTTCTGAATCAAAAGTCAAAATTCCCTAATAGCAGTTGTGTGCAGGGTAGAAGTCAAAACCAGAAATGCTATCTCACTTAGTGGGATATAGATGGCTCCCCTAGATGCGACCCCACCCTTCTGCTTTGTGCCCCATGAGACTGACTCTTCAGAGGTCAGAGCAAGAGAGTGATGTCAGTTTGTGTGTTCCCTTGACTCCCCCCTATCTGGAATTGACAGAGTTTGCCTGTATCCTCACAGCTATGTCATTAGCTTCTAGCAAGCCCACTTTTACACACATCCCTCCACCTCTTGGTTCCACTCCTGCACTCTGACATTGACCCTCCCATCTGAGTTAGTAAGAACTCTCTGCTGTTGTTGGTCCCAGGGTGTCACACTATAAACTGTGATTTTAAGTTGTTGGTTTGAATTTTCCCTTTGTTAAAAATCTCTTTAGCTTATGCATTTTTTTATTGAGATTACATCATTTCACAACATTTTTTATAGTTTAGAGATACATGGTCACCCCATTTAGGTGGTTGGTCACCACACCCACCAATTATGTTATCTTCCTTCTGGATTCCTCACTGACATGGTGATTAATATGAATCTTCAGGAAAATTTTGTAAATGACCCAAGTTATCAATTATAGGGAGTGTGTGTTGCATTGCTATCTGCAAGTCACCCACATTGGTTCCT